CACAATCATCGCAACACAGTAGTCGAAGAAATGCTGTAATAAACTCGAGTCTGTTTCCGGCAAAAGGATGGCTGCTCGAATGGAACCACTACGTCTCATCGCATCTCTTTGTTCCATCTTCTCGATTTCGAATACTTTTTCTCCTTGGATACTGGGTGTTTGGGTCGAAGCTTTTCTTCTCGCGGATCTCTATTCCTCGTTAACACGACCGTCTCTCATTCCTTCTTTCTCTCCCGCATTGTCTTTCTCTGCTATTCTCCCATTCCTCTTCTCTAGATTCTCTCGCGTTGGCATCCCGCGGCACTCAACAGGGGCCGGTCGTTTATCTAAATGGCTACTGGGTGGCCCGGCCGACCGTGTCCCGTCCCAACAAACCAAAACTAACCCAATCACACGCCTCCGGCGCACCGAAGAAACGACCCCGAGGAGAGCTGATATCCTAAGCTCGGTGATTGTCGTGCCAGCAAAACTGCGCCAGGATTTCTCGGTACTATGGTCCGGCCTGCCTGCCTGCTTGGGTCGTCGTATCGCCATTGTCGTTATCATCGTCGCTTGCCGAGTGTAATGGAGGTAATCCGACCTCGTTGAGAGAATATTTAACGGTTGGTCCCCCTGCCCGCGCGCGCACACCAACGATGTCGTGCTACTTTCCCGTCGCTTCCTAGTATCGTTGTTATGCAACGTTACGACGCTACTTCGGTACTGTTTCAATAGCCGAGGCTAGCAGAGCAGTCATCCTCGTCTCATTGATACGCGCTCTCCAAGCGAGACCGAGCTCGCGTGGATTGTGTTTTACAGCCGCCGGCGACAATGCGTTTACACGCGACTTCGCGGATTCCGTGATATTGTCGTTTAAGTAGCGAGTATAGAGTTGTACCGGAGACACTTCTAAACTGGATATATCATCAAAAGAGATGATAGCGCATATTGTCGTGAAAATCATTCTATCCATGTTAGATCTTCATTACGGGCGTATTCAGAATTTCAGTCATCAACTGCAGGAGGCAAAAGTTTATCTGACAAAATTTACCAAGATATTTATATTAAAGCTAGTTTTCGATGATCTTCAACTAAGTTTTTTACAAATAACGCATGAGCCAAGTATTAGCCAATAAAAGTGTGTAACATTTGTCGTAAAAATAATTTTTGTTGTTTAATTATTTCTTCTTGTCAAAATATGGGGGAGAGGGAGTTAGCTCTCTGCCTCATGTCTGTCCTAATGACGTCATTATTGTGTAATAAAGGCAGTGTAAGACTGCGTCGGTAAGTATATGTAATTACGTACCGCAATAAAAAAAATGATTCAAAGAATATCTTAACTAGATTATACGGACTGGATGTCAATTTATGTTGAATATATGCTATAATATTTTAAATATCGCAATTACAACACGCGAACGGTGCATTAGTTGGCGGTGAAAACTTGCGCGCGTCGCGAAGCCTTTAGCCGTTTAAACATCTCGTCGATATCTCGCGAGAACGGAAACAGTTCGAAAGTGCTCGCCGGCGACGATGAGCGGTGGTTCCGCGCTCTCTACCTTCGGTGCTTCTTTTCTTCTCATTGCGCGAGCGCTCCGCCTATTATCTACGCCGGAAGAGGAAGCGATTTGCGCGGACCACCCGGTACGTGACTTTTCTCCCTCGTCCGCGCGCGATTCGCAGCATCCCGATACTGAGCGGTGTGGAGCGGAGCGATTCCCTTGTGAATTTTTTTTAATCCGCTTCGCCGGTCGCCGTGTCGCGCTGTTTTCTCCCCTCGGCATTGCGCCGCAGCGACGCGACGGCGGCGGCAGTGGCAACGTTCGGGTTCGTTTAAAATGCAAACTCGTTCGCGGTCCGCGGGGGCTTTAAAAACAGCCGCTATACCTATCCGGATTTTCGTTTGCCGTATCGCCGCAAACTTGGCCCCACCGGGGTCTTACGCGCCTCATATAGGGATTTATGGCGGCGCTGACGCGTTTCTATTCTGGACCGTCTCGTCGCGTTGAGGAACACCTCCCTCTCGGCGTGTTCTAAGTTCTTTCTTACGCACTGTGTAACGCTCGTACTTTGCGTCTTCGTGATTTTCTCTTCAACCGTTCGATTAAAAAGAGCAGTTATTCATACAACATGCATGTTCAAAAATCTTTAAGAGATCTTTCGTCTCGTTTTTTGAACTTTATGTTGTTTGAATATAGACACAATCGACTTAATTACTTCACTACTTGTTATTCAATTGACGTATTTTTACAATCATATGAGCAAATATATCTCGATTTATTTTTCGCTTCAGGCTGATCAAAATTTTTTATTTCTTTTTTAGCTTATACGTATATATGTACATTTTATTTATAACTTTTATATAGCTTGTGGCTTTGTTAGAATGGCAAGCTGAACAATATAGATTTCAACATTAAATTACGATGAATATAATAATTTTCACATCGCTCCTAATAAAATTTTGTTATTAAAAAATAAATAAAAATTATTTTCTGAATTTTTTTTTATTATTAGCAAATAATGTATGTAGAACAACTATTATTGCTTTTTTATGTTCGAAAATAAATTCGTTGTCTCAGACATTTTTCATCTAGTAAGATGTCACGCATTTTTTTCTGAAATTCTCGTTTGCTAGAGAAAAGAGAGATCACTTTCTTCAAAGTTTCTTTTTCTTAAAAACGAACGATTCTTTCAGATCTTGTGAAACTATATATGTTTGTCATCTTTTTTCAACAATTGCCCTTTCAAGAAGATTTTAACCGTATCGGAGTTGATTAGCACTTCATGATCTTGAACGCGATTTTAGTATCGTAAAAAAGATCCAGAATAGAGTGGTTACATTTAGCGTTGAGCATTAGAAGTGAATGTGGATCTCCCCGACGTATCTTTATCTCGGAAGACACGCTGGCGAAAGTGAGATCAGGCTCTCGGCTTTCCTAGTAATTTGACAGAGCGATAAAGTTCTACCGCTCCTTTGATCGAGAAGATGTTGATTCAACGGTCACTGATGCATTAGATGATCGCCTAATCATTGACGCAGATGTTGCGAGTAAAGGTGAGGGTGAGATGCGCTTAATTAGCTTGACCGTGTAACGCGAAGCGACACTCTGAGGGCAGCTCGGATAAAGGGCTAAATTTATCCCCGATAGTTCTTTGAGCCCCTTTGGTTGGGCACTTATTGTATGCGTCCACGCACTTCCGCGTTTTAATTCTCTGACGCAGTACTTGGTGTCTACCGCATTTAAAAGTTCTATATATGTAATGATAATAAAAATATAAAAGTATCTCTAAAAGCTACGATAAGACTGTTACAATCATCGCAGGAGGGTCTTTTGTATTTCGAAGATATGAAAGGCTTAATAACTTCAGGATTGGCATTTCTAAGATGATAGACATCACCGATATACTTTAAATAACAGAGAAATATAATTTCAAACAGATATGCGGTCAAGCTATATTTTACTTATTATATTATATTTTATGGAATCTATCTACATTTCAATTCGCCTCATTGTGTCACCGTTTCTGCGAGAAATATCGTATTACGCATATTTCGCAATAAAAAGATTTCCCGTTCGATTTTCTGATTGACAAACTTTTAAATAAATGTTTGGATTCATATTCGTAAATATATACTAAATACTGATTTTCTATTAAGCTATTTTCGTTCTGTATCTTTATCGAGACACAAATTTGAAGTAATTAAATAAAGCATTGCCGCAACGATCGAAAATTGTTTGAATTCTGACTAGGTCCATTAATGCCCGTGCTTCGAGAGAGAAAATTTAAGCGATAATTATTAATTCGAGCGAGGGTGATTTTTCCCCTCGAAAGATTGCCGCCGGTTTGCGAATGTGATCGGATAGGCGTCGCTATTGTTATCCCGCTTGACCACAGCCACTTAAGCCCGTGCGCTAAACTCCACGAGTTCAACTTTACCCTTCAACAGGTGTTTAGGGAAATACAATAATGTCGCGCATGCGCGTCGAACTTCTTGAGGTCGCAAAGTTCGCTGGAACAATCTGACCGCGACCATGCCCGCGGGCGATGCCGGTACTTAGGACGAGATTAATTAAGATTACGCAGGACGCGCCGCGGTTCTCAACCCTGGCTTGGACAGGGACAAATTTCGCGCGGTTAATGAGAATTCCGTTAATGCATGCGAGATAGGAAACGACGGAGCTTGATTAGGAGGTTGCATTGTAAGATAAAGTTCAGCATCTATACTTAATCAGTCGGAGCGACATTCTAATTCTAGAGAATGTATCTCATTTTTTTAAATAAAAATATATCGTTAAAAAGTTTTCCCTCAATATTGTGACATATTTACTGATCCTATGTACGATAAAATAGAACAAAATTATCGAAAAAGAATTTTTCTTTGCAATTACTATTGATTAAAATGCGGAAATGCATTTTTTACGATATGGATAATGTAGAAAAACGTAGATAGCACATCATGGCTTAATATATTTAATTTTGTTTCTTCCAGATTTACTAAAAATTTATAGTTGCAATTGTAAACATTGCAATTATGTAATTAGTAGTTTTTCTATTAATTGATATAGAAAGGAAGTCTATTTTACCGATAACAGGTAATACTAATATAGAAAACTGACTTGTCAGTAGTCGATAAAGTAGACTAGTGAAATCAACGTCGGTAACAGCTTGTGAACCAAACACTCTTACCGATGGGGAAGGTTGAAGGGAAATTACCTTTTAGATAATAGGTGGCGTTTGAATATAATATAATTCTTGAAGAGATTTAAAAAAAATATATACACATTTACAAATATATACATTTTTTATGTGTAAAAATATCGAATTACTTAATTATATATTCGTTTTGTCTTGAATTGTAAGACGACGGAGACTGCGATAATATAAAATTGTATCTTCCTATTTATTACTAAATTATTAACAAAGTAACACATTTCATTGCACATTAAATTATTATATTACATCCACACGTAATAATAAGTCAAACATGCTTCTTACCATTTCGTATATTATGTTCACAGGCGTTAAATGGTGCCGAAGGTACAGTTCCACCTGGAAGAGTGTACAAGAAAGTCGCGATTGTGGAGAATTTCTTCGATATCATCCACGCCGTTCATGTTGATCTTGAAGGACGTCCTGGGAAGCATGCTGGTCAAAAGCGCACCTACAGAACGGTAAGTTGCGGGATCGTTTTATTTTAAGTTATAATAAAAAAAAATTTTATATCGAAAGAGATATACACACTTTGTCTTCTCATTTTTGAAATTTAAAACGTCGCGTGTATGCGTATAAATGAAGTAATAAAGTAACGATTTTATAATTAAAGACGTAAATTGACATCTTGAAATGTCGTGCTGGCAATCCGCTCATTGCGCATAAACAATTCTCTCAGTATTCGAGTCTTTGATATTAGACTCGTCACTAACCATCGAGTATCCGTCGATCCGCGAAGCGATCGAATTCGGGCACTATCGGCAAAACGCGGTGAATTCCTGCATGGTTGCCCGCGACACGCGATATTTACCGTTCCCGAAGGAAGGCATCGAGGCGTTCAAGCGTCGAACACTCGATACCACACGTCATCTCACATGTTCCGGCGCGCATTCGCGTAAACCTCTCTCTTGGGTATCATATCTGTTCTCTCGTTCTCTTCCTCTCTCTCCTTCTATCTCGCACCCTCAGCACGCAGTCTCTTTCTACCCTTCATCGTCGGCCCCTGCGACCACCCTCCCACTCTTCGGCCTCCCATCCTCTCTCCTTTCTCTCTCTCTCTCTCTCTCTCTCTGTCTCTCTCTCGCATGCCGCGATCTGCTTGTGATTCAAAACCTCAGGACACTTGTTGCATTGCCTGCTTACTCACACACTCGAGCGTTTGCGCGACGGTGGAACTGTTTTACGTTCAAGTCGGCGTTAGGCGGCGGGATTCATCGGCTCCAGAGAGGAGAGCCCGCGTTATGTCACAGTGCCGCGTTGCACAACGCGATATACTGCTGCCGCTGTGTCAAGGATGGTGGATTTCGAGTTGATGCTGTTACATCGCAAGGGTTGCAGAATTGACCGATTCGGTGCACGCAATTTACCTTTGACGACTCGCACCTTTAATGCGCGTCCGATCGATACGTTACGTGTTACAGTTCGTAACGCGCAATTTGCCGTTCGAAGTTAATCGGAAGTCCTCGTAATCGAGTGAGAATAACGTGCAAAACTTCCGCTAAGAATTCCATTGAAAGTCGAAAAGTAGCAACTACATTTAAGAATGATTCGTCGATATATATTTATTATGAAATCTTTTAAATTTAATTCAGAGAAGTAAGGAGTAAAAGATGAATGAAAGAGTCTTTGCCAAGTACGAAAAGCTAAATGTAGATTCCGTTTATTTAATGCATAATCTGTTTACTTAATATACAATCTTTTGTTTCGTTATACTCGTACTTAAATATATTATTCAACACAAAATTCGATATTTATTCGAAGTCGTCATGTATTAAATATTATCATCAAGAAATACTTTAGTCATTCAATAATTTATTTCCGTTTTGCACTTGGTTTGATGCAATTCGTTATCCTTTCGAATATCCGATTCGAAATATTAATAACTATGGACCAACAAATTGATTATAAAGTATATATATATATTGTCTTGCGTTTTCACCTATAAGAAATATCTTTTTTTTTCACTTTTTGTTTCCTTTGAGTTCGTTGCGAGATTTCGGATAAATCTTATCGAATTACTATCCTTTCTTTCATGGAACTGGTGTAGTTATACGCACACGTATATACATCAGTCTCCGTCGGCTTTCTCGGCCTCTCACGGAGGCTGCCATCCACCTTGATTAAGTTATGCCGCCCCCCCCCCTCCCTTCCTTTGCTTCCTTAGAGAGAAACGTTTCCTATTAAGAGGCGGAGAACATCCCTCCGGCTGAACACCTTCTCTCGCAGAAGACATCAAAGTTCCGTTATACTGCTCATGAATTTTCCCCAGTGGGCGTCGCGCGTAAAACGACGCCACGTGACAGCGATACTCGGAGAGCGGGAAGGGCCATTCGCGTGCATTAACGTGTCGATTGACAATGGTAGTTGCGTATTATTATTGCACGAACGTGCACTTGGGTACGGCGCCTCGACCGGGTGGAATTGGTTAATTGCCTGATCGAACAGTGTTTCTGCCTGAATATACGCCGTGGCGCAACATTTGAGAAACAGAGTACGAAGATCTGGTCGATATACCTATTTCAATAGTCACTATATCTCCGTCGTATTTTTAGAATAAAATGTAGTTTAGTACTATCAACTTATTTTGTATTATCGCATACGATTAGCTTAAAATATGCTGCATAAAATTATTTTCCAAAAGGAAGAATACTTTATCGACCTTGTCGGTGGAAATTGTATTAATAATATTACCTGAACATATTTTTTTATCTTGTTTCAAAGATAATTCATTTGCAATTAAGTTAAAATAATAATAACAGTAGTACAGTATTAATCCTTCAAATATCATTTTTGATATGCCGCACTCAACTTTTTTCACAAAATTATCTTTTCTGAAATTTCTATGTGTACTGTATTGCTTATAATATTTTTGCTAATAGAAGTATATATAGATTTATTCAATGTTGTATTTTTTAAAATGTTTTGTTGGTGACGAAAATTTGTTACGATATGTTCAATTCACGAGTAATAAAAATATAGTGTAAGATCTTATCAAAGGACAAAAAAGTACAAAAATATTTTCGAAGAAAACATTTTTTTCGAATATATTTAAAATATAAGTTTTAAAGAGAGTGTTTTTTTTTTTTTTTGTTACAGATTACAGAGACGTATGCATTTCTACCACGAGAAGCAGTAACGCGATTTCTGCTAGGTTGCACGGAATGCCAGCGGCGTCCGCGGACGCCCAGTCCAACGAACTTATCTAATCAGTCGCAGTCCACCCAACCAGCGGTACTGGGGTCGACGTCAACCCCGCTGAGCCCGAATCCCGGTAACGCCGCTCTTGCGACTTCGTCGTCGTCGACGACGACATCTTCGTCGGTGCAAAATAGCTCTAAGTCGCGTAACGGCAGCCAACATGCGTCATCGGAAGGCAAGAACTTGCACAACTACAGGCACCAAAAGCAGCACAAGACCGCCGCTGGTAGCGCCGCTGCGGACTCGAAACTCGACAAGGACAAAGACGAGAAGTACAATCCGCTGAGTATTACGAACTTATTGAAGAAGGAGCCACCGGTGAACGGTGGTTATCTCGCGAATTCGGACGCTTTGCCGGAATCGAGGAGAACACCGGAGTCGGATCGAGCGAGTTCGAAGAGCTCGGCATCGTCAAAGAGAAAACGGATGTTGCCGGAGGGACGGACACCCTCGCCGCAACCCAGCCAGCCGTTGCCGAGGCCATGGAGTCCCGGGCTGGACCCCAAGAACACGCCCATCGACTATAGCTTACCTATCACCACCTCGTATTTGAAGCATCAGCAGAGACTGCTCCAGGAGAAGAACAAGGCAGCCGCTGCTAATGCACTGAGAGAGTCTGAAACGACGGAATCGAAGGCCGTCGCGACGCCGCTCGTCGAGGAGGCCGAGAGCGCCGAGAGGGAAAGATTTTCACCGGCCACTGGCCTGATCGACACGAACCTCAATCTACTGGCGACCATCCAGCATCTGCACTGCCAAGTGATGTTGGCGCTCACTGAACGATTGAGACCGTCGTTCGCAGTACCGAGTCCTTTAGTTCTACCACCGGCATCGACCAATGTTTTGGCGGGCACGATGATGATGGGGACGGAAGTTTCGGTTCAGACAGGAGAGAATCATTCGTGAATTAATCGGTACGAAGAGGAAGAGAATGATCGATTTTTATAGTGACTTTCTTAGGAGGTGCGTAAAAGGCAATGTATTATGATTTTTCAAGAAACGACAGATTTTCGTGAGCAGAATTAATTCCCGTCGATGATACTGCCTGAAAGTCTCGTATATATCGAGATTATATGGTATATTCTAGACAAGCGTTCGCGATAAAAAGATTAAGCCGATCAGACGACGGAAATTTGTGTTTAACAAAAAGACACATGTTAAAATTTGTCTACCTTATTTGCGATTTTGTCACAGTCACGCGATTACACGAGGCTCCGCATATAAAATGTCGATCTCGGTCACTTTTTATCTTTAATTCGTTCCTAAATACGGTATCCGTTTGATGCGCGAGATTGCGAATACAGCGACGACTGCTCACCATTCCGCCTTTGGTCGAGAAACGGCACGACAGATAAACGCAATTACATATTGAACCGGACAGGATCGATTATTGTCGTCGATGCTCGTGTCACATATTTCATCCGATCAGGCCGACCAGCCTGACGCTTGCTTGCGTCCGACGTCGCCTGATATAGACGGCGGGCCAAGCGAGCAGAATAATTCTCCAAGTTTGTCTAAATACGGGTCGATGTGTCATGGATTCGCGCTTTCTATGTCCGATATTTAGAAATCCGTTACGCGGAGAGCGGATCGCGATCCGACCGCCGCGCCGCCGGACTCGGTTTCGAATCGATCCATCCAAGCGGGACAAAAGCGACAGTCCGCGCGACGACACCGCGAAGGTCCTGAATATTCAACGAGCCAGCGAAATGGGGTGAGTCCGAGGGGAAAAGAGAGGGGTAGAGAAGGAAATCCGATTTCTCGTTTTCGAGTGTCATCCAGACGAATCCGACAACATTCGGCGTCGTTGTCGACCTGACGAATTGTCTTTCATCTTTTAAGCGTGACGCTTCGCGCGACAATTCGCTCCGACTAATTATAACGTGTACCAAAATGGTCAATTGATGCTCTAGATGAACGATGAATTTTTGATTTTTATGGCTCGTCTTCCCATAGTGAGAATATCTCGGCGCTAATAATTTCTGTGTTATAAATCATAAAAACAGATTGCGCGAGTTAAGCTTCGGAGCGATAAATAAATAATATAACATTACCTGTCGATACTGTTCAATCTTTCAGAGGACGAACTTCCTTTTAACAGAATTTTATTTAAGGCTCGTTGGAGGAAAAGAGAGGAAACTTTTCCGGGGGTACATGCTTGTCGAGTTTGAAGAAACTTGTTTCGTCTTTTTGTCTGTTTAGGCGATGTAATATCCTTTCAATCTCGGACTGAATTAATGTCGATTAATACGCGATCGAGTAACATCTCATTAAGAAAAGGACCGGCTGCATCTAGTCGGAGTCTTATTCTATCTTTTAATCGTAATAATATCGCGTGTAATTACACACATTGGGGCGATATCCAAGGCGAGCCTGAATGCGCGACTCGTCTTGTAGCGTTTCACTGAACCGGTCGAGATCCGGTATTATTATCTGCGGGCCGCGAACTTCTTTTATGTTGTACTAATTGTCGTGTTATTAACGCAGCGACTTTTTGACGATACTGCGTCGCGTCTGCCTGATTGGACACACATTATTTCAGACGAGAATGTATTTTTAATTAAACATATTTTATGTCAGTTTTAAATGAAAAACATGTGCGTTATCATTATACTACGTAATATAACTTTCTTTTTGATTTATTTTATAAAAAAAATCTGTTCTTTTAATTTTATTTCTCAAATAAAAACAATCAAACCATATATTTTAGATTTATATCTTTCCATTAAAATGAATATCAACACGATTTAATTTAATATGAGTGAGATTTATTTGAAAAAATATAAATGATTGTTCCTTTTGATTGCTCGTGTTTTGTGAAAATTACTTGCAAGCGACTAGCTCAGTAAATATCTTCGTAAAATAACTTGTTCATTTAGCGATCGCCGAATCCGATACTGAATATATACCAAAGGCAGCATCACTTCGAGCTCTCGCTTTGAGAGCGACTCTCGTCTTCGTAGAGCAAACCGCAGATAAGATGAATCGGTTGCAGTTAGAAATCGATTGTTTCTCCCGTCGAGACCACGACGACAGTCCTCGGGCGGCGAAATCCGTTTCGTCTCTGATTGTGTACGTAGCCTAGCTTCCTCCCCACGTGTATGATATTACTCGAAGTAGCTCGTCTTTCGTGTATAATATATAGCGTCGTTAGCTGGTGAGGAAAAGTAGGTAAGGTACACCGATAAAATAGGCCTTAAGGTATGCTTGCAGACAAAAAGATGTTTATACTAGAAGTTCGATAATTATCGTGAAAGTAGACGAGGGTTAAGAAACCCTTGAGAGTGTTATCGGACATATTATAATTATATTATATATACATATTATATATATATACACATATATATGTGTATGTATATACATATTATTTTGTACATAATCGTTGTATCATAGTGCGTATAGTCTATATCAAGCAAGAGCGTGCGATTATATTATTACGATGGTTCTTTCATTACGGTATATTATGTATCGTTATCATTATTATTATTATTATTATTATTATAATCACACGGATGACTACTATTTTTACTACCATTGCTCTTATCGCTTTCTCTTATCATTATTTTATTATAATTATTATTAATTATTATCATATGAGTATTATATTACTGTATTAATATTATCGTATTTAAATTGTGCGCGCAGAACAGACGAGAAAATATATGAAATTGAAATACTCGAAAATATATTGTATATATAATTTATACCATACCTAAAAAGGATATATTCTTTCCTGTCTTCCTCCGATGTCTAGTTCAGTTTTCAAGTATCCTTTCTATTTCTATATTTTCCTACACTGCCTTATGTAATTAATGTTATCGTTCAAAATATACTTTGCTTCTAGGAAAGAAATTGTGTAAAATTGGCGATTGTTTATTTCTGACAGCATTGCATTTTGTCGTAACGCGTAATAGCGCTGTTGCATGTAATCGCTAGATATTCCGGATATAATGAATATTTTATACACAGGATGTAACGAAGGACTGTGCGGAGTGCTGAACTACATCTATTCCATTACGCGACTGTCGCATTATATGTGACTGTAAGTATCGAGTTTATTTATATGCAATCAGCATTTTAAAATGCCCGAAAAACTTCGATCGATCGATGGACATGTGCAATACATCGAGGAAGGACGATCTTGCACGTACTACGAACGCAATTGACACCTCACCCCCTCCTCCCTTTCCTTTTTCACTTCCTGCCCTGGTACTAGATAGAAGCAGTCGCTTCGGCGTCTGACGTACTTTAATATCGCGAACAAAGAGGACGAAATGATCGTGTTGCCTTTAACAAAGGAGAGGGAAGGCAGCGTCGACGACTCACCTGCTTTCTCTCTCTCTCTCTCTCCCTCTCTGTCTCACTGTGGTGCGAGGATCGTTTCTCGCAGAGGAGGCACCATAGGTAATGCAGTCTTTACTCATCCGGCTGTTGCCAACGTTGTAGCGACCTCGTTCCATCAACTTCTACGCGTTCCCCCTAGCTAGCTATCTCCTTCGTTTCCTCTTTCCCTCCTCTCCTCTCGCTTTTTCTCTTTCTCCCAGTCGTTCGTTGTCTCTGTCTTTCCCTCTCAGCCCTCAGCCCTCAGGAAAACTCAACCCCCTACCCTCAGTTCCAATAAGGCTGCCGCCTCCACCTCGTTTCCACCTCCTGCTCTCCCTCTGCCACCCTGCTCTGCTTTTCACCCTCTGCTTCCCTCACGTGCTCACCCCCCCCCTCCCATCCTTCGGCTGCGTCTCCCTTTCCTTCTCTCTCTTTCTCTCTCTCCATTTCTCTCTATCTCTTTTCCTTTTGCGCACCCTCAAGCAACCCTCCGTCGTATCCTAAAGCCCCGCTTCCACAGAAGAGCCAAGCCTCTCTCGCGCTCTCTTCGCCACGGCATTGTTGCTATCGATTCGGACTTGGAAACGTGTTTTTCTTCGGATATTTCGTGGCCACCGCCGGTTACGACCGCTGCCGCTCGACCGGATAACGAGGATTCTAGGAAGGCGGGTGTATGTCCGACCCTCGGTTCACCCTTTTTCACGTCTTTTTCTACGTCTCTCTGAGTTTCCACATTACCACCTCCGTCGTTATATTTCCCGCGCTTAAGTGCGGCGCGCCTTTTGCGCCCGCAATAAATATTTGATTTTACGTACGAATTTTGTGTATTCTCGTTCCTCTCTCGTTTTCATTCGTACGTTTTTGCTTTTCTCAAAGTCTGTTTACCTCATCTTTGCCACATTTGTGCATTCGTCATATTTACGTAAAAATTAATTTTGCAATTGATGGTGCATGATGCAGTTCCAAGTTAAATTCATAATAACAAAATCGCGTCCGTGTGATACAAATAATCTTACAACTGCTTTTTAATCATTGCAAATATATTATTTTAAGTATACAACATATTTTATGATAATATATACTATGATAACGAGCGAGTAATATGATTCATTTATTTTATCAAAGAATATTTCAAATTTCCCTCTTTTTTCTTGTTAAATTCACTTTTCTTAAATTTACTTTAATATTACATCTTTTTATTATTAAAATTATATCACAATATTTTCTTAATATTTGTGACATTTACGACTTTTAAATAATGATTGATTAATACATTCTCCGTGTTTTTGTGTTTTCTATAACTATTTATAATTTTTAATGATTTACTTTTGCACTTTTTGCGAATAGCTTTTATATAATTTAAATCGAATATGCCTTTAATTTTATTTTTTTCTTAAAATGTACCTTTAATCGTATTTTTTTTTCTATTTCAAAATTTCTTTTTATTTCATTAATTTGTACTGAAAAGGATAAAAAATATGATTGAAATGCTGCAATATCTATGTAACACTGCAATAATAACCATTTGTATACACATTTAATAACCGTGTTTAGTTCTTGTTGGCATTTTTTCATTAGAATTTATTTGATTTATTATTAAAGTTTGATTTTATTTCAATTTACATACATACGTATACGCATATATAAATTAAAATATTGTGAATAATTTAAGTTTCCGTCTTCTC